ATATTCACACGCGGACGGCCTTCGCTCCGGAAGAGCTCCGAGACTCAAGGGTTATGCGTGTTTTCCTTTTTTTTCTGGTCCAATGTGTGTAACTGTTTGGGAGCTATGTCGCATTTGATCGTGGGCTCGGTGGGTAACCACCAGAAGAGCTCCCTGAGTCTCCGAGTTCGACCGCAGGTAGTACTTTTGGCTGTAAAGTTGTTTCGTCTGAGTGAAATCGATTTTCGTAAAGGCTCGCAAATATTCTGTACCGTTTACTACCGGATAAAACTACTATAAGTACAGTGAGTGACCGATCTCAGGAAATGTTAGCCGGGATTCTGAGATGCGTTTTCGATTTGGAAGGGTTACTTAGGTGGAGTTTTGGTATTGTTTATCATGCGAAATAATCCGACAATATTTCGGACTTGCGAGGATGTTGGCCTTTGAATGCACTTCTTTTCGATCTCCTGTAGAAATCGCACTCGGCATGTGTGATCCGACTGACGCCTCGACTCACTCCACGCAGTTAACCCGGTCGTGTGGGTTTGTGTGGCGGGACGAACTGGTGGGCTGGGAGCCAGGCTGCCACGCCACCTTCTTAAGTAATCTGTGACGCTCTCATGCATATGAGGCGCGTATTGCTTTATGTGTGGGGCCTCTCGATCTATGACTGACTGGTTACCCGAGTTTGAAAGATGATGGCCTAGGCTATGGACAGGGCTGCGTGTCTGCCTTCTGGATCTTAAGGTTTGTTTGCGTCTGTTATGCCCTGATTCAGCAAACCATGGTCCTTGCAGCGTGGTGTACGCTGGCAGTTCCCTGGCACTTGGTTCCCTGCCGATAGATGCGCTTGCGCTTCTGTTGGGTGTACAGGTCGTGAGTCTGGCTGTCCAATTACCCTCCTCTTTCTGATCCGTCGTAATGTTGTTGTTAGTTAAAATCCTGATCGAGTGTACGTTGTGGACTGACGGGTTGTTAGGGCACGCCTAGGCGCGGGTCCGGCCGCGCCCGGCATTTGAGCCCTGACCCCGTCTTTGTCTTTAGGGTGGGCTAAAATAGGGGACGAGAACAGAGTGAGGTAGATGCTGTGCAAGTACACAACCACTATAAGTCACCGTGACTGCTTCACCTTGCTGTGGACCACACGCGGGACATCGTTGACCTTGAATTGACCAATCGCTTGCCCCGCGGCATATCATAGTGCACAAACTTGTCCGTCTGTGTCCACGTTTTTTAATTTGCGGGCCTATACTTTCGTCCTCTCTCCCCCTGCTCCCCCTCTCTCGCCCCTTTCGAAGTTGTCAACTGTTGAGTGTGAAGCCGTTTTGTCATCTTTACTGAACAAATTGCCATTTCACCTCCATCCACTCCAAGACGGCATTTTTATAGGAGTAAACCATTATCTAACCGGCAGTCTCACTTGGTTACTAAACAGGCTCTGTCAGTTTTCGGTAGTTGATCTAGCTGGACGAATGTTGTACCACTCTGACTTCTTTTTCCGTGGCGAACTGAATATCCAGTTACCTAGGAAAAGTGTAGGTCGCTCATATGAATGAGGAGCAGATTAGCTGGAACACCTGAAAGTTAAAGGGCCCCTGACACATCCAAACAGTGAGTGGAGGTCTGCAATGAGTGATTTCTCGGAAAATTCAGACGCAGTCCGGCTGCCCACTTTTGTGAGTACAATACCAAATACTATATACTATAAATACTACATACTACTGACCTAACTTCTGACAAATTCAGGGCTCACTGCGGGTCAAACTACGCTAAAGACCACTTGCTCACCTTGTCAAAAGTTGCCTTGTAGGCCTCGCGGATGGCAAAACGTTCAGCTGATGTCCTTCTGCCAAGGATGGCTATGATGGCCTTCTCGTCCGTTCCTAGAAAAGATAAAGTCGTTTTGAGAATTCCCCTATGTAATGCCATGGGGCCGGCCGTGACGCAGGAAAGACTTGCACGAGATTAAATGTTGGACAAAGGTTATTATGTACAGTGAGGAACCGATCTCATGAACTGTTGGCTGAAATTCTGAAATGCGTTTTCAACTAGGAAGGATTACTTAGGCGCGGTTGCTATACTGATTATCTTAACGCATAATCCTAGAATATTACCGACTCGGCAGGATGTCAGATTTTGAATACACTGCTTTCTAATCTCCTGTAGAAACCGTACTGGGTAAAATGGTTACTTAAGCAGCATACATTTTTCCCATTGATTTTCGATGTTCTTACAAATTCAAATATATCTTATAGAAACCATGAACGAAAATATGCTATATTTCAGTCGTTTGATAGATAATTTCGTCTTCTTTATATTTTATACATAAGGAAGGAGTATAATTAGGTTTTAAAAAGTTTTCTAATTGCCGAATAATTTGGAGCCTGATCATTCGTTTCATTAGCGCTTGGTGATTTCAGTCTACAAGGTGCATGCGTTCCGCGTAAAAGAAATCACATATTCTTCTGTGTCTTTAAAAAGATATCAGATAGAGTCCATAAAATTTTGCAATGGATGCGGACTATGTTGTATATTTCATGAGGTGCAGTGGTAAACGAACAGGTACGATGCTATGTGAATGGACATTGCGCAGTCTTGAAAAATCTCATAATAAGGAACTTTTTTAAAACTTAATTATACTCCTTTCTTGAATATAAAATATATGGAAGACGTAATTCTCTATCAAACGACCGAAAAAAGCATATTCTCGTTTGTGGTTTCGATAAACTATACTTGGATTTGCAAGACCATCGAAAATCAATGGGAAAAATGCATGCTAGTTAAGTAGTCATTTTTACCGGGTATAGTTTTTACAGGAGATTGAAAAGCAGTGTATTCAAAAGCTGACATCCTGCCGAGTCGGAAATATTGTAAGATTATGCCGCAGTATAATCAGTATTACAATCGCGCCTAAGTAATCCTTCCTAATTGGAAACGCATTTCAAAATTTCAGCCAATATTTAATGAGATCGGTCACTCACTGTACTACTTTGGGTTTGAGAAGGGCATGAGTACCCGATATACCACATCTGGCATTGTGCTAACTTCTAGGGGGGAGAGGAATAGCTATTCCAGTAAACTAACCCCCACCCCAACCCCAGTCCCCCATACAACTTAGAGTAAGGCCACCTGTAATAGGGAGAGGGGGTTCTTGTAACCGCGTATTATATTAATATGTTTTTAAAACAGTTACACACAGGGAACCCTTT